CGGTGGAGTAGTAAACGTACGTGCCAGATATTAACTTTTATTTTACTCTCCCACTTGATATTTACTCCAGAGTGGATTTAACCAGATTGCAAAAGGACGTTTCTTGAACTGGTGTTAATTGTTGAACGCCTTTCTGTCCTAGTTTTGAACCGCGCTTGTTATGTAGGGCAAAGCGTTAGTGGCGTTAGGCTAAGAGAGCAATGTATCCTGATAATGAATGAGACATTTTATTTTCGCAAGGAAGTTCAATTTCCGCAGTGCGGGGTAACCGCAACTACAACGCGAATCATACTTTGTATGTTTTTGGTAAGTTAATTGAAGATTATCATATACGGGAATAGTTATGATAAATTACTGCTTATGAGGAAGTATTAAAGTGTTGAATAATACATTATTAAACTGATTTAGCCTACGGTTACTGTGGATGCGAATACTGACGAAATTTTATTCTGACAAGTACTTCCGAGATTCTCCTCAGAACTACGCGGTTACGCTGACCGCGTTCTGACAGTCGGTACGATTCTGGCGCCTAGCAAACATGAACGAAGTAGACGAATTTTATTTGCTTGACTTGAAAGTCTGTTGCTGAAGTTGCTGTTGTTAAATGTTTGAAAAGCAGAGCATATCAATCCTTTATTTTCTAGTAGGGACGACAAATGGCAGCTTGAACTGTTAATTGAAGAATTGCTGGAACAACCGCAAAGTTTTTCTAGTATTTGAGGATAAGTGTTATAAATTGTAATCATGTAATCAGAATAAAAAAATACTTACTGGTCGTTTTTTACACCGAAGCAGCCGCGCAGGCAGACTAAATGCCAGGTCGCGCGGGCAAAGGCTAAATGCCAGGTCACCGCGGCTGCTATGAGGAGCTTAAAATAAGTTTGTTAATCCGACTTTTGAACTGTCTAAAGTTAGTAGAACTGGGAAAAAAGTAGGGATGAAGGAGCGGTCGAATCGGCCAGTTCTGTATGTACGAGTTTGACTGGAGGCCGAAGTCAGGCTGGTCTGTCTGGCGGGCATATCGCGCGACGGCATCATGGAGGAGAGCTTTGAGAAGCAAAACCCATTGGCGTAGCGGTAGAATAGACCTGGGTCGCCGACGCCTCGCCGGTGCGAAAGGGTCTCGAGACTGTCTGTTAGAGAAGAGTCATAGATCAGTCAGACAGCCCTCTTCTTGTCAGCATCGAGCATGAATAATGTAGTCGGAGCGGCAGCACCCCAAACGTGTGATCAATACTCGAGGCTAGGTCTTATCTGGGCATTGTACAGAGTAAGAAGGTCGTGTGAAGAAAAGGCCTTCTTAGCCCTAAACAAATAGCCTAGCTTTTTCCCAGCAGCTGCCGCTACTGACGAGATGTGTTTGTGTCAGTTCTAGTCCTCGGTGATCTGGACTCCGACCAACCGAAATGAACGGCTCGAAACCGGATGAGCGCTAGGGCGCTTCTTGTCGGTCAAGATACATTAATGTGTTTTATTGAGCTCTGCAAGACTGTTCTCCACTATAGTATTTTTGTTTCTCTTATCCCACAGTGATCTGTTCTCGTACACAAGAGTCATCAATTTATCATGTCCATGATGAAATAACCAATAGATACTTAAAAACAGACAGGTCGTACGATAAAATAAATCTGAACGCTCAAATAATTCTGATAATAGGGTGCATATTCTGACGTGCTGGTCGCTACCAGTGTAAACACGCTCATTGGAAAGCAGGTGTTCTGGCGAATTCATTAGAACAAAATTTCGTCAGAATGCGCATCTATAGTAACAGTACTCTTTCTCAATGTTCTTGTGAGCCTTTATCAGATTCGCCAATAATAGTCCATGCTAGTTGAGTTTTTAGGTGTCAAAATTAGAGAACAGACGCGACTGTATGAAAAAATAAGATAAAAATACGCAGGCTCAAATGCACTAAAATGTATGCGGTTTTTAAAAAAATGGTGTTAAAGATGTTCAAAAATTGTTATATGCATATACTTTCCAAAATGAGCTTTAAACGAAAAAATGTTTTATACGAATACAGGCCTACTGAGACCAAGTCGATGTCAATCAATAAATTAATGAAAAAGTTATTACAAAAAACTGAATATAAATCATTTTCAAATTGCTTATCCATTTTAAAAACAGATGCATTTCAATCAAGCTCTCTGATACTATGGTCATTGGAAAGTAAAGGAAAATATGTATGTTAGAGTATGTTAGAAAAAAGTATTTTTCGAAAAAAAAACATGTCCGTTAATCCGCTATTAATGATACTGTAGTACTTCTGATCATCGTCGCATTATAATTCCCGCCCCTCCATATATATTTAAACTCACATTTGTTAAGACGAATTATTTGTTACATTTGTTTTAGAAGTAGATATATGCAATCTGAGAATGATAACAGTTTTTTTGCAATAACTCCTTTAGTAATATATTGGTTAAAGTCGACTTGTTCTCATCAGTAGGTCTGAAACTAAAAACTTTCGTGTTTTTTTTTTCGTAAAAAAAATATAAGAGGAAACAAGTGATTTTAGACATGTTTAACCACCATTTTTAGAAAAACCGCATTTTAATGCAACCGTCGTATTTATATTTTATTTTTTTATATAGTCACGACTATCCTTTGATTTTGGCACAAATATGAGGCATTTGGCGTAATTGGGTTGGAGTATAAGATGCTAGAGAATTTAGGGGAATCTATTCACGAAAACTACCGCTTCTATAGATTTACACATCAGGCGATCTGCAAAAAGTATGTGTCTAAAACTTCATGAAGTGACCTGGAAATTCAAATATCCGGTTATTAATTTAGACATCAAAATTAGTATATTTTCAAAGTGACGGTACCATTATATCGCAATCAACATCATAATTGATGAAATAGCACTGAAACACGACTTTCATGAAAATACTCCTTATCTATATGTTGAACAAGGATACCTACTTTTTAAGCTAATGGATTCAGGCTATCCAAATATATAATTCTCCTCTTATTTTTTGCAAGTTATAACTGTGGCTCAAGTATGACAAAATCGTAATCTGCTTCTGAGCAGAAGGGTTTGAACACTGATTAACGTATTCTACCTGAAGGTAGCTAACCTAATATTATATTCGCGCGTCCCAAAAATTATCCGAGTTAAGACACTGTATCTTTCTCCTCTCTGCAATAATTAGAAATCTACTTTGAAAAGTTAGAGTCTTGTAGGTGGCGCTGTTGCTATATGCTCATACAGGTTACTAAAGCGCCAACTATGTGACACCAACCTTTTCAAATTAGATTTCTAATTATTGCGGAAAGGAGAAACATAGCTGTGACAAATTCTCGGTATTTATAGTTTTAGGTTCAATGATTTAAACATGCACATGTAATTTATAAGAAAAAAATGTTTGATCACTGAAAATACTCGGTTTTATTGCTTTAAAAGTAGAGCAGACAATATAGCAAAATGCAATGTATATAAATCGAGATTAAAAATAACAATATCAGATAGTTTAACTGTGTGGATGTTTAAAAGTAGTTCAAAACGAGCAATATACGTGTATTTAAAAATAGTTTAAAAGTCACTACTATGTAAAAATACAGATAAATATCAAAAAGTAAACTTATTTTGCTAAGGTTACACTATATAACTAAAAAACGAATTCAAATTAAACCAAACATGTAAAATACAGATTTTTCAACTTAAAAGATGTATGATCCAGCCTTATACCACGCACACTAGAGTGGAATCACCCATCTACCTTTGTTTTTACATAGTAGTGTTGTTGCGGAAATAGACAGCTAGACCAAATTACCATCAAGCAAAATATTTCATTTACAAATATGTGGATAGGAAGAATGTCAATTTTTTTACAAACTACACATAAACATTCATTATCTCAATATACAATGAAAAATTCTCAGTCGGCGATGATTTAAGATCTCAGCTACCTAAATCCTTTACTTTTACGGATTTTTGCTTGTATTTGTTAGCTTCATTCAAAATCTGGTGTGTTCTGAAAATATTTCTCGAACTGCAGAAACTAGTAACTTTATACACTTCATTACATGAAACAATTAGTTGTACTGAAAATTGGGCAAGACGGCAATATCTACAACAATTAATATATAAACCTAGAAGAGCTAATTAAATGTGTTCTGGATTATTAAAACTAATCACAGAGAGCACCCATTATTTTTAAAACTCTTCTAAATTTAAAACTGGCTGTGAGTCTCCTGTAAGTTTTCCAATTGAGGGTGTACTCGCAGCAATATGAGAAGCCATATTAGAAATTTATTCAAATAAAATATATCCAAGTTTAGATTGAAAATATGTATATTTATTTAAATTAAAGGTTCAATCAATTTATTTAGAATGTTGCTTGTCGTGTATTCCTGGGCGCAGTGTCTGATTTATCCAGTCCGAAAATTGCAGGATAATTCTGCATCTGGAAATAGGTCACATGATCTACAGTTTGGCATCATTTTGTTTAGACAAAAGTCTCATGGTTTTCGAGATATGCAACAATAATTTTTTAGCGTTTCTACAAATATCAATTGAATGGCAATTAGACATCCCCACGCAATACGTCAAGATCGTGCCCATAGACACCGTTTAGAGTAAATCTGAGGACTGGGATACTGAATCGGAAGGTGATTGACCCATACGAATTACCAGGAACGTCAAAGGAAATTTACCTGTACTTTCCAATAAACCGGCTGCCTAATCTGTTAATAGATATGCCAATATCTATAAGGTGAGAAATGTGGCTACAAGATGGTTGCCCAGCACATTACGCTCGGCCTGACCGCGATCAAATAAATCCATATTATCCAATAAAGTGGATCGGACGCTCTGGCCCTATCACAGGCCATAAAGATCTCCGGACCTAAATCCATTGGATTTTTTTTATTGGTGTTGCCTTATAGATTTACCCTATAAAACAGATGTGATTTCTGTAAAACAGTTACAGGAAGTCTCGCAAAGACAGCATTCTCACAAACTAAAAACACCATTTATCAAAAAAGCGTATGGTATGCTTAAGGGCCCATGGTGGCGCGTGCACACACACACACCGAGTCTAGAATATTTAATAAAATAACCATTACAACATCAATCTTGTCCATTATTCCTTGTTCGTATATATATATATATATATATATATACAGGGTGACTTTGAAGTTGAGTCATTAATTTTCAGATAATGATTGTAGAAGGAAGATAAACCAAAATATGTGTGTAAAAATAAAAAAAAAATGTTACCTTGTTTAATAAAGTATCCTCCCGACAAGTATTTCAGTGCGGACCTGTATTTGATCGTGCGGTCTTGGAGCACCGGCATGCTCTCACCTGTGAGGTCTTAAGTCACCTGATTCACGAGCCCTTTGTACTACATTAACAAAGGCACGAGGGGTTGGTTGCACTCGATTGGGAAACCGATTCGCATAAATCCGTGATGCATCCGGCAGCATTTTGTAAAGACTGACCCCCCCGTAAATAAGAATCATGTCCACAAGTTCAGCATTTTCGTAAACATGTGACATTTTTCATTTCGTTTGAGTCACGCAACAAACATCACTATTCACCCACGGGTTACCGACTGACGAAAAACAACGTGATAAACGTTTCAAATTCTTACGCTTTTTTGTTTCCGATGCGATGAACCGATATCCGTTGTTGCCAAACACATAATATTATTATTGAGACAGGGCGGTACTCAAACTTCTAAAGGGCGATAACTTTGTTACTTTAATTTTACCAGAAAAATGTTAAAGGAAAAAAACATTTCTTTTGATCAGATCTACTCACTGTTAAAATAAATGACTCAACTTCGAAGTCACCCTGTATATTCAAGAAACAAGATCTTCTATGGAAATTGTTAAAAGCAAATAGCCAGCAAAGTGTTAGAAAACAAAGTATTTGGCACAGTGATCCTATTTTATTCTTTATAACTACAGGGTGACAAAGTAAGACGTACAAATTGGTTTTCATTCAAATTAACTCGGCACAAAAAGATTGATATTTGTAGAAATAGCAACAATTTAACTAGATGATTTTTGCTAAAAAAAATTGATTGCTGTATATCTCAAAAAACTCGAGACTTAACTGAGCAAAATTTTGTCAAACACTAGGTTTAACCTTCAATTTCCATACACCCAATATATTCTGGGTTCTTGTATATCAAAAAGTGATCAGCAGACAATATATCCTTATTATCATTATAATTTGAGTGTATGTCCATTATTATATCATATAATTGCAGTGAGTGAAACCAACTTACCCAGCAGGTGTGTCCATTACAGTCAAATGACTATAATCAGTAAACTGAAAGTACCGACATGTTTTTATAATTACGTTTTTACCTCCTAAGCACATTTTGGGCAACAAATCAGTCTCAATCTTCTTACAACGCCTATGGATCAAATTTTTGAGCAACGCAATAGTTTCCCAGAACATCACAGAACACATAAAACTTCGAACAAACCATCCAAATCCTAAGGTTCCAACGCAATAACATCAAACAAGATGATTAATCGAATTTGGTGCGTTTGGAAACCAGCTGAAGGCTTATCCGCTTAACGTCCTAATACTTGAAGACTTAAAAAAGTCTAACTTTCGTTAGTGTGGGGCGCTTACTGGCGAGGCGGCATGAAGCCATGCTGGGGCGAAGGCTGCGTGAAACCCTTGGAATAGGGATTCCCTTGACCGGAAGCTCCAGCATACACGTATTGCTGCTGCTGAGGATAGGGCTGCGCGCCAGCCGCGCCCCCTGGGTAGCCTGCAGCACCCCCGCCGCTGCTGTCCATCACCTGAGGCACGTAGCGACTGAAACAAATTCATTCATTAATCCTGAATGTTAAGATTTGATATTACTAATATTTACAAAATCGGAATTGGCAAGCGTGTGTCCCAATCTTAAAGCAGGCGATCCCAGGAATATCGAAAATTACCGAGCTATAAGAAGCCTGTAAATTAAGTGATGAGCCTGGCAACGCAATACTGGACACGCCGAGGTTGGAGAGGAGACAGGTGAACATGTGATCCGCCTTCAGTAAAAGTTTGAACTCACTCGAGTCATTTGATTATCCGTAGCAATTTCTTTTTTGTGAAACAGTTTTTTCTATTGTATTCTTAAAATGAATGACAATTTCGAGCAACAGTGGGCACAGTGCAACGGAAACTCTTGCTAACTAATATTGTGTTTTGCCAAGAGCCCAGGTTTTTCGGTGGTTTAAGGTATTTTCAGATGGGAGAGAGTCGACTGAAGATGAACCATGAAGCGCAAGCCCTTCATCTTTATGAACCGATAAAAATTTAGACAGAATCCGGGATCTTCTGCGTCCAGGTCGTCGGTTGAAGAATGATTGGGGAAGAGTTATATATGACCAACATTACCATTCATCCGATCAAGAACAACTGGGTTTTTGGCCAGTTAAAATTCTTATGGCTCCTCAGCCTCCTTATTCGCCTGACTTGAGTCCTTGTGACTTTTTTCTCTTCCCCAAGTTGAAAAATCACCCCAATGGAACTCATTTTGAGACAGTCGAAAACATTCAAACGGCTGAAAACCGACAAGCTGAAGACTATTCTAGTACCAGAGTTCCAGCACTGCTATGAGGAGTTGAAGAACTGTCTCCAGCGCTGTGCGTCTTCAGAATGAACTTATTTTGAGGGTGACAATATAAAATTGCAATTATATTTAAATAAACAAATTTAAAAAATCAGTCTAATTTAATTACATACCTCGTATATCAGATTTTTGAGATATATGAGTCACAACATAGATTTATGCGCAATCGCTCAACTATTTCTAATTTAACTGAACTCGCGGAGGTTTTATATAATAGGGGCCAGATGGACGTACTTTATACAAATTTCTCGAAGGCCTCCGATAAGATTAGTCACCAAAGAATCATCGGTAAACTGCAGCATTTTAGCTTTAACAATCATTTATTGGTCTTCTTTTCATCTTGCTTTCATGATAGAACTCACTATGTATCTTACGATGGTTTCCGATCCTCACCATACTCGGTTTGATCCAGCGTACCACAGGGATCAAATTTAGACTCTCCCTTTTCATTATTTTATTAACAATCTCCCTAACTGCTCAGCTTGTCCTTCACTGTTGTTTGCCGATGATTTGAAAATATATGGTCAGATCAACAAGCTAACCTGAATCACACATTTAAAACGAATTATTTCTGAATGTTGCCAATTGCAAGTTTTGTTCTTTTGCCAGAAAAAATAATCCAGTAACTTTTGATTATATGCTGGAAGGCTTTAGCTTGATGCATTGCTCTGAAGTAAGAGATTTGTGTCTGTTGTTTGATGCCAAATTAGAATTCATTCATCATATTAATAATATAAGTGTTATCCGTCATAAAACGTCTTGATTTTTTAAGATAAAATTGAAAAAAAATATTGTGTTGTGAGATGGCGCTCAAGACTTTATACTGCACCTTAGTGCGTTTTAAGCTGGAATATGTATCAAGTGTATGGTATCCGTATTATCAAATCCATACTTTATGTGCTCCAGGTGTAACAATAGTAGATAGTTGTAACATTCATCACAATAAAGTTAAAGATATGCTGAGTAAATTCAGTGAATACTATTATTTAAATTATAACATTTAAGGCATGTAGTAATTTACTCATTTGTTTCCTTAATTTTTCAAGAAACTGGTCGGGCTATTATTTTACTTAGGAATGCTGTAATCTAACACTTTGGTTCAATTACATTGTCCTATAAGTTGATTCTTCTACTGGGCAATAAATATATACATATTACTATTATTATAATTTACCCAGCTAGGCTTTTGAATATGCTTTTGTGAAATATTTTCTTCGGAGAATAATAGTTTTACCTAGGTCCGCATGCAACAATACGAAATTTTTTGTGAAATTCGATACGAAATTTGTACACTACAAATGGCAATCTATCAAAACTAAGTAAGGTTATATGATGTTGTTGTTGTTTGCATTAATGCTACAATGCCGATTTTGTATAGTGATTCGGTTACATATTTTTCTTCAATCCATTTTCTGTAATTTTACATTCTTGTCTATTAAAATTAAAATTATATAGATCATTTTCAAACTCGCAACTTTGACGGATTCTCCTATTGGTTGGAGGACAACCAAAAACAGATTGCCTTTTAGTTCAATGTAAATTAGCTGCACTATTTTTCCTTATCTTTTGTAAAACCTTGGTGTAAATAGTCTGTTGAAAATTGTTACTGTTGTTTAGTTATTTATGAAGAACCATTACAACGTCTTCCTTTCTTCGGAGGTAAACTGCTTAATGAGGGGGAACACAGACATATATTCCTGCTATTCTTCAAAATGCTGGTAAAAACTCAATCTTTTGTTCAAACAGCGACGAGATTTATGGATTAAATTATTGATGAAAGGACAAAAAAAAGGAAGAATTTTATATACAAGATAACATAAGAAATGAGATTGGTGTAACTTAACGTGTATTTTATAGGAGCTCTCTCAGATTTAACAGACAAGGATGATCCTGATTAGGGATTCCCAGTGAAAATATGAAATACATAATACAATCTTTGAGAAGGGACAGTAAATAAGGTTGAAAGACACGAAAGATTACAGAAACAGGCAAAATCGAAAGTTTTGCAAATTCATGTAACCATCTTTTTTAAATGACTCATCAGTCCATAAAATGTTCCCGAAATATTGCGGATCTTCCGGCAGAGAATTATGTAAAAAACGTCAAAAACAAAACGACGAAATGTCATCTTGCAGACTAGGCAGTTATTAGTGTGCAAATAGTTCATTCTACGTTTGCTCGCTATGATCGCTGTTCGCTTACCTTTAAGCAACACGTACAGCTCAGTGGAGGATTTAGGGGATTTAGACGTCTGACACTTGCTTTTGTAATCTAACAGCATTGTGTTACTTTCTCACGCATCATGGCGACAGAGGCATACTAACAATAAGTTATAGCTATAGAAACCGAGCCTTGCGACTTTTTTGTATCCTTTGGTATTCCAAACGCTGTCCCACTTACGTTCACAGCACAATTCTTACGATTTATAAGTAAATACGAGTATTGTGACTTGTGACAAATCTAAGTCTGAGTAATATATTAGCTATACAGATTACACTTAAAAAGTGATTTATGTTCTGTCTGTTGCTCAATAGTAATTTGAAAAGTGTGTAAAGCTTGACTGATTGTGTTCGGGGGTTGGTGTTGCAGCGAAGCACTATGTTAGATGAACGCCTAAATTGGAATTAGACATTTATGAGATTTGTTCAGCAGTGCGCCTGTGGCCTGTCCAAAAAACGCGTCGATCGATGCTCAAAGTCAACACCACACGTCCCGCATCTCTTCCCGCGTATGTGTCTATTTATGTTGCTATATTGAATCCGTTTAAATCACAGAGCTTCCGCACTACTCGTGAATATATACAGCCCTGTATTCCTGTACTTGTTTCGTACAAACATATATTATCAAAATAATTACGATCTAACAAAGACTGAGAAAACAACACCTATTGGCGTAAATCTAAGGTCGACAACGAAAGTCTGAAGAATAGCTATAACATCTACGTATATATTGAATTTCAACAAATAATTGACTATACCTATTGATGCTTTTAACACCTGCTGATATAATAGAAGCGCTTGATTCTGTCAGTATTTGCACCAATTACTTGATTTGTTTAATGGGCAGTTCAGAGTCTTACTCCTTAAGCTTTGTCTATAGGCAGTCTGGAGACGGTCTCAAGACACGATTTATAGATGGTCTATAGACATCCTTCTTTGTCTCGTCTGGCGTCCATACGATAAGTGCACATTTCGGTCTCATGTTCGTTTTCGCCATCAAAGACATTGTTTTGCGTAGAATCAGGCCCGCTGTGCACGAGCGTGCACCGCACAAGGTCGGCATTTACAAGGGGGCGGCAAAAACAGATATCGAGACAATTTTTTTTTGGAAATCAACAGTCATGAATTTCACGTTCCTTGCTGAACATAGTCAAAATCTGGTCGACAATGTTGTAGCAAATATTTCGCAAGAAACTGTGAATTTCTTTAATATAATTCAGGAAATTTACGTTTTCTTTTGATCATCTACAGAGCTGGTCGATAATTTGCCAGATTTCAAATTAAAAGCTCTACGTGCCACGCGATGGTTTAGCAGAATCGATGCAGTCAAACCATTAGGGTACCATCTAGAAGAAATATTTGATGCTTTGCTGGAAATATCTGATAATAATTCGTCAGAATGGGACTATGCAACATCTCACAAAGCTCATTCGCTTGCGCTGAGCATTCAAAATTATAGATTTACTTGCTCGATAATAATTTGGTTTGATATTATAAACAAAATTAATGCTTTAAGCAAAATAATACAAAGCCCCACAATGAACATACAAACTGAGCAAATTTGTTGGAAACATTGATTATTAAGTTAACCGAATATTACAAGAAGCTACTAATGTAGCTCAGGATCTCAACGTAGAAGCAAATTTCCTGCCAATAAATACACGATTCGTCTCAGAAGAAGATCAACACAATTTCAATATGAACACAGTGACGGAGTGTTACTAGACCCCAAGATTGAATACATACAAAGTAGAGTTTTTTTTTCAGAATCTTAGATCAGACACTAACCTCTCTACAGGGCAGACTCGAGTAGTTCAAAACTTTTACTGACGTATTTGGCTTTTCAAACAATAACTTATTCAATTACTGCAACGATGACTTAATGATACATTGTAAAAATTTAAATCTAAAGCTTAAAGACGAATCTACTGGCGAAACTGACATTGACGGTATCGATTCATTTAATGGAATTAGAGCTTTGAAATTGCACTTTCCAGAAAATCAGTCTAATGATTCTCATACTTTGTTACAAATACCTTCTTATTAATGATTTAATTTCAACATTTCCAAACACAGCAATAGCGCTACGAATATTACATTGCCAGTCACAGTTGCATCCGGTGAAAGGTCTGTTTCAAAGTTAATGATTAAATAAACTTTTTGAGGTCAACAATGCACCAGCAAAGACTAAGTAATTTAGCTATAGTTTCTTTTGAACATGAAGTTTTAGACAGCTTGGATACGAAAAACTTGATAGCACATTTTTCAAACATAAAGGCAAGAAAAGTTCAATTTCTGTAGAAACAAATAGGTATGTACTTATGTCTAAAGATAGTATTTTTTTATTTTCTCATGCCCTTATAGTACAATCGCTTTGGATTCGATTTGACACTCGGAATCGCAGAAGTAGTTCAACGGATTGGATGTTATCGAACCCGTTCCAGTGATTCACCGACACAGAAAGAACTCAGCGTACATGGGGTGGCGAAGTCGGCATTGCACGCGGGCGTTCAAACAAATAGCAGCGGGCCTATGTACAATGGACTGGGATATGTCTCGGGGTCACTCAGAATGTTTTTTTTTTCAGTTAACACAGCAATGAAGTTTTACATGTTTTAATCTTTAATATCATTACACTAGTGAATTATGAATGCCATGTACTTCTTTTGTTCTCATATACAATATTGCATTTATGAGCATTTTCCATGGTTTTCTTGCAAGCTGGCATTAACCAAATAGAACACAATGGATTTAAGAAGCAATAATAGGCTAAATTATAGAAGTTCCAATGAGGTTGAAAAGTAGACGAAATCGTAAATCCGCCCTTGTTATACATTCAGTACACTTTTTATTTACATACACTGTCATTTGTCGGAGTGATTAACTCAGTAGTGCTGAGCAAAAATACTGTTCCACTGCATGTTGTATTTCCATGCATTATTTTTAGAGCAGGTTGGGAGCATATCACTCTCAAAACAAAAGCCACTAGCAAGCAGCTCTGATTCAGCCACAATGCATTCATGATCAGCTGATGTAAGATTCTATAATTTGATAATTGCAAATGAAGGATAGATAACAGATTGATTACATTAAATTATTTTTATAATATAAACAACAAATTATATTTCCAATCAATTGTCTAATATTTTAATTGGTAATCTAAGTTATAAATATGTGAATTGTATGCACTATGGTCTTCCTACAGTGTTGACAGATCATCTGCGGATACAGGCAGGTGATTATTGAATCAATTATCCTATCGTTTGTTGATATAGCTGTAAAAATATTTCATTGTGTTTATATTGAAATCCTCGAATTAGGACGAAGTTTAGCCACATAGGTCAACCTTAATTTGCAGTAGTTGTCAAATTATAGATTATTACTCATCTGATCATGAATGTATATACAGTTCGACTAGCTATACCACAAATGTGAGTAATTTTTGTAGGTAAATTGAAAATGTACAGGCTGTATAAGTCTCTTTGCATCTTCTTTCCTGGCAGTTTCACATGAAATGTATGACCACGTTTTGAATGTATCCAGAATGTGTAATTTCTATTGGTTGTTTCCACCAGCAGCCAAAACTAATGATTTAAATGGGTGCCGTTTCAACGTAGAATTTTCAAATACGTTTTTTTCAACGCACGAGCTAAAAAGATCTGTGAATCCCAAGCCTCCTTGAAAAACGAATGCAATCTATTTCATCTATTACATAGGCCTTTTTGTGGAGGTGAAAAATATACCCGCTGGTTACCACTACTTGGCTCCATCAGAAACTTCATAATCACATGAAATAGGATGTGTACTTATCACAGTTCTGTATAACTCCGTTCATTCCATAAAAGTATGTAGTTGTTGGCTCCATCATCAGAACCTATTCTGATGATCAAAATAGAAATTATGAACTCACCCGGCTGACGTCGGAAAATTATACTGCTGCGGATAGGGCAACGAGCTGTACTGCATTCCTGGAAAATTGGCTGCCGTCGACGAACGTCCGAAATAATCGCTCATGGTGCCGTGAGGATTGCCTGCAGAAGTTACGGCCGACTGGGGCTGTTGCTGTTGAGGGGCGGTCGTCATGGAGACCGACTGTGGCCTACTGCTGCTGCCTCCACCGCTACCTCCATCACTGTACTCACACATAAGATCGTTATTAGTATTGGAGAACGACAAATACAGGATTTTTCCCGATACCGATATATCGGTATTATGGGCCATTCACCTTTTTCTGTACATAAACGGGTAAGCAGGGGTGAACACGTTGGTCTTATGTTAGCTTTTAAAGTGTTGCCAAACACGTAAATGTTCATTACTAAAAAGTTCGTTTTGGGAGATATCTGGTTTTTGCAGTAACAACGATATATTTATACAGGGTGTTCCTTAATGATATGCGAATATTTAAGGGTATGAATCTACATGAAAAATTAATGTTAGTTTGCTTTATAAACTATGGTCAAAAAATGTTTCCTTACAAAAGCTCAAGGTGTTGAAGTTTTAGGAAAAAAATGGAAATTAATTGATATTTTCAGAACGGCTTCAGATATTTCACTGATATTTAGTACGTAGTGAAAGTTGCATATTTGTCAATGCAAAAATAATTTTTAGCTTTAACAGTGGTGTGCGTACGGGTATTGACTTCGATATTTTTCAAGAACAAAAAGGTACGCTAATGGTTTTTTGCCAAATAAAAATTATTTTTGAATTCCCGTTCAATTTAAAACAAATGATCTCTCTTGAATTGTTTATTGACTAACTTGCAAAATTATTAATTTAATTGGAAAAATTAAACACATTAGGGGTAATGAACAACAACAACTGACAACATAAACATAACATTAAAACCAACAAAATGATTACAAAAATTGTTGAAAATGACCCCCTTCACTTAGTATGCATGCTTCCGCCCTCTTTTTCATGGAATTGCGCACTCGTTGAAATATCTCTGGAGTGTTTTTTATTCTATCACAAGCTGCAACTATTCTTTCTCTTAATTCTTCTACAGTGTTAATGGGACTTGTGTACACTAGTGTCTTAAGATAGCCCCACAAAAGAAATCTAAACTGTTGAGGTCTGGGGACCTTGGTGCTCATTCTTGGGGCCCACCGCGGCCAATCCAACGATTTGGATAAACAGTTTGTAAATAATTTCGAACCGCTACACTGAAATGCGCTGGTGCACCATCATGCATGTACCGCATATTGTTTCTTATTACTAACGGAACATCATCAAGCAGCAAAGTCAACTGTTGTTGCAGAAAATTGAGGTAAGTCTGTCCGTCGAGTCGTCCCGGCAAGAAGAATAGGCCAATAAAGTGCTTGCCAATAATTCCTTCCCATACGTTAACCGAAAATTGGTGTTGGAAATGCGTTTCGGTTACGGCATAGGGATTGTCTTCTGCCCACAAATGATTATTGTGGAAATTCTGAATGGCATTTCGAGAAAAATTAGCTTCGTCCGTGAACAGAATCATTGATTCAAATTGCGAATTTTGTGTAATTTTTTGAAGATACCACTGACAAAAGGTCACACGCCTTGGAAAATCAATGGGAAGTAATGCCTGTACTCTTAAAATATGGTAAGGATATAACAAAAAAATCCACTAAAATCCTCCAAACAATTTGATGGCAAATTTTTAAGTGTGTAGCGATCTTCCTCGTACTCGTTTCAGGATGTTCTTCGACTTCGTGCAGCACTGCTTCCTCAATTTCAGGTGTTCTCACACTTAGAGGTCTACCTTCAGATGTTCCTTTTCAGACAGAACCAGTTTCCACAAGACGACGATGAATATTAGAAAAGGTTCAACTATCTGTCAAAGCACGATCGGGTTATCTCTGGTGATGAATCCGTCTGGCTTGCTCACCATTACCGTCGGTAAGGCCATTTCCGCCATTTCTGCATTTGAATAATTCACCATTATTAACAAGATTGTAAAAACTAAATAATGAAAAAGATGTCATAGCGAACAGATTTGGATAACAGAGACCTGTCAGATCTCAAAAGCCAATGACATATTCCAGAGCAACTAGATATTTATTGCTAAATTGCATTCTTCAATTATTACATTAATTTTCTCGAACAATAGAACGGTTTTTATTTTTCTACTCAAAAATGCCGCATCGAAGGAAAACAATTCAAAAGAGATCATTTGTTTTAAATTGAACGGGGAATTCAAAAATAATTTTTATTTGGCAAAAAACCATTGGCGTACCATTTTTTCTTCTTAAAAAATATCAAAGTCAATACCCGTACGCACACCACTGTTAAAGCTAAAAAATATTCCTGCATGAAAAATATGCAACTTTATTAACTTTCACTACGTACTAAATATCAGTGAAATATCTGAAGCGGTTCTGAAAATATTAATTAATTTCCTAAAACTTCAACACCCCGAGTTTTTGTAAGGAAATATTTTTGGACCATAGTTTATAAAGCAAACTAACATTAATTTTTCATGTAGATTCACACCCTCAAATCCGCATATCATTAAGGAACACCCTGTATAGTTTATTATCAGTTCAACAATCATGGTAAATTTCTGATTTGTATCGGTCGGCCGATATCGGCATATAGGTAGTTATATCGGCCAATTGGTATATGGGCAAATTAGGCCGATATTGCTGATATACGTATCGGTACCGGTGGATACTTATAGATTTAGTTTGGGTAAATAGCGGATACATCAAACATGAAGTGCCATCTTTCTAAATATCACTAAGATGTGTATACCAAAAACAATCATTAAACGATTCAGGTAAAAAAATGGCTGCTAAGTTTCGTTTTATTATGCATGTAACAAAAAGAGGTTAGTACAATACAATTAAAATATATTTTTCCTTATATTTTTTCCAACTGTATGGTATTAAATGTTTTTAACTTTATATTTTATATCGGTCGGCGTATATCGGCATATGGGGCAGTCATATCGGCCGATTCATATATATCCCGGGAAGAGAAACGAAACTCTTCCACTGGGTTCTTTGACGCATAAACAAGAAGAAATCTCGCAATGGAAAGATGAGTTACGTTTGATGTGTGCAATGAAAATTTTCGCCCCGCTTCTCAGTGGGAAATAATGCTAGTTGTCAAGTTGAGTCACTAAACAGAGCCGCCACTAGGCTAGAGTATCAAAATTTATTATTTGTATAAAAAATATAAGACGAATGTCACACGATCACTTTTTACTGTAACCCGTCAATATTTATCATGGAATGTGACATTTATTGACCATGTCGCCTGGACGTCAAAAGTTATTGAAGTATATTGTTACGAAGATCAATGACACTAACAGAATCATCAGTAAATATTGATCGTGTGACATTACGCTCTCAACTTTGATGATTAATATGGCTTTGCTGTGGTTGCCTAATAGGTGGTAACCCATATGCAGCTACATAGAAGACAGTGAGAAGTGTCTATGCTGTGTTGATATAAAGGGTGATTCATTTAGAGGTACTTTTTTGGTGTGGCTATAATTGCTTATGGCGCATGCGTCATGACAACTAATTTGACATTTTCTGTTTCAGTATTGTCCGACATTTCATCATGGAAAGACTTAGTCCAGCACAGCCTCTACAAATAATTCAGCTGTACTACGAAAAATCAACGTTCTGCGAGAACTGTGTTTCGTGCACTTTAAGCAACTTATGGTGTACATAATCGGCCCACCGAACGCACAATTCGCCGTACGGTCGAAAAATTTGAAACCCAATTTTCATTATTACATAATACCAGACCAAATAGACCACATCCAGCACGCAGTGAAGAAAATATAGCTGCGGTAGCTGAGAGTATACGTGAGAACCGTGAAGAATCGATTCGGCGCCGTTCTCAACAGCTTGGCTTGTATCCAACAACTTGGCGTATTTTACGTAAGAATCTTAATTTGTAACCATACAAAATTCAACTCGTTCAAGAATTGAAGCCGACCGACCTTCCAAAGCGTCATCGTTTCAGTCTTTGGGCTCTTGCACGGCTTGAAGAAGATCCGATGTTTTCGAGCAAAATTTTGTTTAGCGATGAGGTCCATTTTTGGCTTAACGGCTACGTTAATAAACAAAACTGTCGTATTTGGGGTGAAGAACAACCCGAAGTGGTTCAAGAGCTGCCATTACATCCAGCGAAAACAACGGTTTGGTGTGGTTTATGGGTCGGTGGAATCATCGGTCCCTATTTTTTTAAAAATGAGGCCGGTCAGAACGTAACTGTCAATGGTGCTCGTTACCGCGCCATGATAACGGATTATTTGCTGCCTGAAATTGAACCCCGTAATCTCGATGACATTTGGTTCCAACAAGACGGCGCCACTCGCCAAACAGCCCGTGCAACCATGGCTTTATTGCGAGAACGTTTCGATGAACACTTAATTTCACGATTTGGACCAGTGAATTGGCCACCTAGATCATGTGATATCACACCTCTAGACTTTTTCCTTTGGGGCTACGTTAAGTCCAAAGTCTACACTGATAAGCCCAATACGATTGAGGAATTAGAAGCCAACATTACGCAGGTCATTCGCCAAACTCCAGTCAAAATGCTCCAACGTGTCATCGAAAATTGGAACTTTAGAATGGACCATCTCAACCGCAGTCAGGCCCAACATTTGAAAGAAATAATATTTAAAAATAAATGTCAAAAATAGTTTTTTTCTTTAATAAAAAAGATTTGACAAGAAAAAAGAATTTTGTTATTTTATTTTGTTGCTGAAAAAAGCACCTATAAATGAATCACCCATTATGTATATGTCAGTCGGGAATAGCGTCACACTCTTTGTACAGGGTGTTATTTCAGTATATGGTAAAACTTCAGGAGGTGCAGGTAATTTTCATGATATGTAAGGCGCTAATTTCCGATTTTATCCAACAAGTCGTTTATTACTCTTGGCTTTTGCTACAACAGGTAGCGTTTCCAAGATTTCTATCCCTTATTTTATTTACCGATGAAGCGAGTTTTTCCGAAATTCAATTATGAACTTTCACAATAATCATATCTGGGGTGAAGAAAATCCCCATGCAGTTACAGAAGTATATTATCAACAACAGTTTTCTGTGAACGTTTGGATTGGTATTATAGGTGATTAAATCATTGGACCTCATTTTTTACCCCCAAGATTGAATGGTCAAGAGTATCGTC